CATACCCCTTCCCAACAAACACTCTTGACTTAGACAGAACAACCTTATTAGACTCTATTACAATGCGAAACCCATTCTTGTCTAGCATGAATCCTGAAATAAGGTTCTTGCGCACTTCTTGCACATACAGCACATTTGTGAGTGTCAGAGTCTTGCTCGAAGTCATCTTGAGCTTCACAGTTCCTTTGCCTTCAACAGTGACAACAGCAGCATTTTCCATGTAGATCTTCTCTCCATGGACTGGTTTAAAGCTGGTGAAGTGGCTCCTATGGATGCACACGTGCCTGGACGCACCAATGTCCATCCACCATTCCTTTGGGTTGGACTCCACCATGTTCACTTGAGTCACCATAGCAACTAGGTGCATGTCTTCCACATCCTTAGTGATGTCGTTGACCATGTTCGCCTCATGATCCTTCTTTGGGGAGCGGCAATCAGCAGACCTGTGACCTGGTTTGCCACAGTTAAAATAATTACCTTTGAATCTGTACTTCTGTTTAGAGACACCACCAATAGTCCCTAGCTTCCCCTTGGCTTTGTTAGCGTTCTTGCTCTTGGCCTTGTTCTTCGAGCCCTGGCCTTTACCATGCTCCACAATATTGACCTTAGCCTGTACGTCATTGGATGTCTTTGATTCTGACTTCCTGTTGTCTTCTTCAATGCGAAGTCTAACAATCAGATCCTCCAAGGTCATCTCCTTGCGCTTGTGCTTGAGGTAGTTCTTGAAATCCCTTCAGCGCAGAGGCAACTTTGCAACGACCGCAGCCACTTGGAAGGTTTCACTCAAGATCGTCCCCTCAGCCTGGATGTCATGTAGAATCAAGTGGATCTCTTGCACTTGACTATCAACAGTCTTGGAATCTACCATCACATAATCAAGGAACCATCCGACTACGAATTTCTTCGAGCTGGCATCCTCCAATTTATGTTTCCGGTCCATGAATTCCCATAAATCCTTAGCCATCTTAAATTTCTCATATACATTATGTAATGAATCATGAATAGTAGTCAAAATATAACCACAGCAAAGGAAATCTGACCATTTCCAAGCCTCATATGCATGGACCGTTGGTACGTCCGAAGTACCTTCAGGCAACGGAGGAGCAACACCAGTCAGAAAGCTCGCCAAGTTCAACGTCGTTAGGTAGAATAGCATCTTTTGTTGCCACCTCTTGAAAGTCACAGTCGCCCCATTGAATTTCGCCGGCTTTTCCACGTGGCTAGCTAGAACGTTGGGCACAGCGGGAACAGCAATAGAGCTCGCAACCCCGGGAGCAATGGCAACTCCGGGTACAACAGCAGCGGGAGTGGCGCTAGCAACAGCAGCACCAACAACATCAACACTAACAACATCAGCCATCACGAATACACAAAATCAAAAGAAGTCTGTTTTAAGATTGTTGGTAGAAATATGGATAAAGTATTCACAATGGCGATAGATGAATTAGGATAAATGAAAATCTGAGGCTCGTGAAAACACGATTTCCTTAAAACAGATTTGCCTCGTCATACAGTGCTAGAGGTTCTCTGAGCAACTGTTTCAAAGGATACAATGGAAACATAGAGCCTACTTAGTAGAAAGCAACTCTACAAACGAACTGGAACTTAGAACAGGTGATGAACACCGAAAACTGAGCAGAAGTGAGAAAACTCAGAAAGGATTGGAGTTGTGAAAAGTTGGGATCATCTTTCTGAAAATGAGCAACTATATATATAGTTGGAAAAAAACCCCTTTTGGTTAACTTCCAAGAGTCATTGTAACCATTTGGCCATTTAATCACATTAAAGTGCCCATTAAGCTGCAAGTTACAAAAACCATTCAAATCTTTGTGTAACCCACGTATTAAACAATGAGGTTACTAAGACTGGCCATTAACTCTTGAAACCTTTTCTTAGCAATACATTTAACCCGTGTTAAATGTCATATTAAATTCAGTCAACACGTGAACTTAATCCATGCTAAGTATTCTCCAACTAACTTATTAGGAAAAATCAATCCGGATTAAACAAAGCTCGAGTTGATCAGGCCCGCAAGACTTCTGTCTGGCATTATTCTCAGGTCTTATCCAGGATTCGGAATTGGTCTCTCTCATTTCCTAACACATGAGAATACAAATTCTCATTCAAACCAAGCTCATTTCCAACAAACAGCCCATAAGTTCATGTTCTAGACTACAAACCATACAGCTTAACCAATCAATCAAGCAAGAACAAAATTTAACTTCATAGAATTAACAATTTCACGAGGTCGTCTCACCTAACTATCCAAAATATGATAAAAACTAAAACAAGCTAGATATCAACAGCAAATAGGAAAGTAACCCATCAAATTTAATGACTTGGTGAGATACAAAAAGTGCCTCATCAAATTCAATGACTTTTTGCAATACAACCCTACAAGGATCAAAACATATGTTTTTGGAGAAGAAAGTTGATAAAGGGCACTCATTTATACATCAAAATCTTTCTAACCATAAAAGAGCAACAAAAAGAAAAACTCTGTTGCAGCTCTGTGCAGGAAAACTAAGATCACAAGAAAAATAAAAATTTAAAAAAATCCCAATTTTATAGAAAAATTCATTGCAAAAGTCTACAGGAGAAAAAATGACAGACCTATGGTAGCATAGGCATAACAGTTTGGCGGGCATAGCTCTGTGTAGGATTAACAAAGTGCGGTCTTCATGTAACGACAACATGCTCCATAGAAATTCGGAAAATTGATAAACATATTGCTTAATACATGTTTGAGAGCTAACCAATTGAAATAAGGAAATCACAGAATTCTACTACAACTCAAATGTAAATCATAAGAAATGGTACAAAAGCGTCTCAAAATGGATAACGAACTAAAATTGACTATAAAGAAACAACTGGATTAAGTGAGTCTTTGGTAATACAAAAACATGAAGGAAGAAAGCAGCCTATTCCCCAGTCATAGATATTGGAGTTGTTGGGCCGGATTTCTTTCCCCACAATTGGTGGCCCAGCATGACCGGAGAAAAAAACCCAAACTCAATTTGGTTTGGTTTTGAGTTTTTTGACCGAGGGAAATAAAAACCCACATGGACTTGGGTTTCGTTTTTGTTTGCTTATAAAAGCAAGGTTGCACACAACCTTATGTCCGTATATGTTTTTCAGCCGAAAGAGAAGGAAAATTAAGGCAGCCGCGAAAGGGTTTTGTACGAGAGAAAAAGAAAGAAAGCTAGGGTTTACTTTTCAGTTTAACTCTCTTTTAGTTAGATCCTTTCCATCCTACTTTGTGATAGGTGTGTGTGTGGAAGATTATTGTTATAATCCACCTTTAGGTGAAGTCCTGTGTATCCACCGATTGGTGAAGATTGTTTTCCATTATTGTGATAGTGGAGATTTGACTGTTGTTACAGTCCCGTGATTTTTTCTGATTTGGGTTTCCACGTAAATTCGTGTGTCTACTTTACTGTCAAGGGTAAATCCCGGAAACGGAGCCAACGGTCCGACCTAGACAGGAACCTGCAAAAAGGAGGTTAGCACTCCGAAGGTCAAGTTAGTCCTAGAGAGAAGTAATTTATCATCACACTTAGAGAGAGAAAGCGGGAGTGTCAAGAATTGAATTCGCAATAAATGAATTAAGGAGTATTTATAGGTCCCCAATGGGACAATACCTGTGGACCCCTTTGTCGAGAGGGGTAAAACCGTGAACAGATATGTGTTAATTCTTTGTGGACCGGTTGGGCCCAAAAGAATTAAATAAATAGACGAGTTGGGTCTGTAAGATGAGCCCAAGTTGGTGGGCCGATTGGGCCGGTCCGGGGAGGTCAGATATGACCACCAACAAATGCCCCTGTCCAGCCCAATGTAGTAGAGTCGGGTTGGGCTGGACACAAAGAAACCGAAGGCCCAGACGGAAGAGCCCGCTACCCAAAACCTTCCATCCCTATACCGCTATGGATCCAACGGTCGGGATCTTCTAAGTCCAAACAGGATGGGTGCCCAGGATTTCATGGAACGAAGCGCCGCAATGATGGCACTGGATGGTAACCAATGTGACTGTTCGCATCCCTTGGGGGTTATATATACGCCCCATAGGACACAGGACGTCATTTCTTTTCCTTCATTTTCTCTCCCAGGCGTAAACACTGAAGTTTTATTTTCTCTCCTCCATACTCTTCTATTTCGTAACCGAGGGCGTTGCTCAGAGATCGGAATCACAGCCGGCGAGTGTACGGAGGTGAATCTCAGCCGACCACAGACAAGTAAGTTTCCTTCTTTTCTTGCTCCTTCGATTTACCAGATGGCCAAGGAAGTAGTTAGGGTAGAGGACGTAGAGTGTTCATTGACCCAAGACAGGTTGAGTGAGTTGGAGAGCTATTACAGCCTTACGACCATAAACCCCACATTACCCGAAGGCCGTGAGAGAGCCAACACTCCTCCTCAGGGAAAGATTACGATTTACGAGAAGTTCTTGGAATACGGATTGCATTTCCCCTTGATGCCTATGTTTAGGAAGATTGTAGAGGCTTATGGTCGACCCCTGGCCCAATACACCCCGAATCTTATAACCATAGTCCTGGCCTTCGTGCACGTTTGCAACAAGACAGGGGTGGAACCGGACATTTTCTTGTTCAGGTGCTTCTACAAGCTCGTCCGATGCGGGAAGAGCTTTCCCGGATGGTTCAGCTTCACCAAGAATCCGCATGGACCCTCCAAGGAGTTGGTAGCAAAGAATGAGAGTTCCAAACATTGGAGGTCGGGATTCTTCTACGTGGATGCGAACTTCGTCTCCCTTTTTCCGTGGATATCGGACGAGGGAGGGACAATCAGCTTGGATCCGTGGACCAAGAAGGATAAGAAAGATATTGAAACCCGGAGGAGGGACTTGGAGAAATTAGCCGGCTGGAAGAAGACCTATACCTATAGGCAAATCGCGTCGCTAAGCGACTGATCAGCTCTCGTAATCAAGGTATCTTACCCGAAGACTAACTCCGGTTATTTTCCTGTTGATAGGTATATTTGCTAATTTGATGGGCAAACATTCGGCTTTTGATGATTCAGACGAGGAAGAGCAGCACGCCGAAGAAGGGCCACAAGAGGTCGCCCCACCTGAGACCGGGGCAGCGTCCTCCGGGCAGACGACGAGGACGCCCGTCGAGAGTTCCAGGAGGGGGAGCTCCTCCGGCCGACCCTCAGGTCACTTGAAGAGGAAAAGGGAAGTCCCGAAGGTCGTGGAGGTGGATCCGCTGTCTTTCAGCCTCCCAGCGATCCATGAGTTATCCTCCCTCGACGACCTCCTGAAGGAAGGATATGCAGATCCGGGTCGGGGTACCGATTTATTTGAGGATGTACCCGCGGGCCACGCTCAACTAACCTTCGACCCTCCTCGGGTCGAATGCTCGGAGTTACCCGAGGCCGGGGCAGCGAGGTTGGAGGACGGCATGAGACAGGTGAGTTCTTGTGTTTTTACTTCGAGGTTCCTCCCTCCGTAAACATGTTTTCTTGCTTGACCTAGGATGCCCCTATTGCAGGCCGTGCAGGCAGTCAACACATTTGTGACCATATGTACGGGCTTGGGAGAGCAGCTGGCCTCGGCCCAGAGGACGGCCGCGAGTGAGGCCAACAGGGCCAGAGATGCGGAGGTCATGTTCAAGGCCTCGGAAGGGAAAAGAGCGCGTCTGGAAGAGGAGAGGAAGCGCTTGGAAGAGGAGGTTGCGAGGATGAAGGCACAGCTCGCGGACGCGGAGCTGACCCACCGCCTTCAGATGGAAAGTTTGCTGGCCACGAGTGTCCCAAAGTCCCGACTGGACACGTACATCTTGGCGGGGGTCCAGCGGTACCTGGGGTCGCCCGAGTTCGCCCTCAGAATAAACGATGTTATGGACCCTGCTATGGAAAGGGGGGCGAGGAAGGTCGTCTTGGAAATCGCGGTGGCCCAGAAGAAGAATGAGCACATCCAGCCCATCCTTGAAAAGTATGCCGATAGGGAAAAGAAAGGGAAGACATCTGCGGTGCGATTGCCGGTGCAAGGCCCGGAAACACTTCCGGGATATGGATTTTGCCACTCTCCCTATCATGCAGCAGATTTTCGGAGCCTGTGCCTCCGTTTCGAAGCCCGAGGACATCCTGAACATTCTGGGCAGTCCCTCGTTCGTCTTTCAGATGCCGAGGGGGACAAAAACGCCTCCCAACACGCCACCGGGACCGGAGGAGGAACCGGAGGTAGCCGCATTCGCGCCTCCACCCAAGGGTACAACTCCGGCAGCCGAGGAGGAGGAGGAACGTCAACGGACTCCAACGCCCGCAGCGGAGACAAGGTGAACGACGCGTAGGGTTAGGATTCCTAGCAATCGTGTCTCCGGGGCTTTCCCCATTGTATTTGAAGTTTAATCATTCTGTAATGAATTTATGTTTGTTCTCCGTCGTCTCTTGTTTTACACATTCGGATTTATCACCGTGTCCATCTTAACGGAAATCTAAGTCTAAAGTCTACGTATAAGCACCTGTTCCTCGGTGCCAACTTGTTTTTGTCTTTCGGAATGCGCGTCCATACAGCTTGTTGCTAACGCGCGCTTCCTTACAGGGGAAGGACACGGCTTCGGACTTCCCATCTCATCCCGACGGAACCTCTCGAGGGTTGCCCGCGACCCCGGGTCTTTGGGAAACTTCAGGGATTCCGTGGATCGACTTGTAGTTGCCTGACCCTCACCATGACTCGACGGGCTTTTCACTTTACGCGGCCGTAGGAGGTGCCTTGGTGGATCCGGACGTTGATAGGGGCCGGGGGTGACTATCAGGTCTCGAAGGGCAACTCGAAGATGCTTTGCAAACCTTTAGGGCCTCGGAGTTGTATGAGGCACGTAAGGCTGTTCTCGAGGCGAAGGCTGAGAACGACCGGTTGGATAAGTTATGGCGGGATACGGAGGCTTATTGGGAAGACCACCTAAAGAATTCTATACAATTGGAGATGTTGGCTAACAATCGCCTTCGGACATTCGAAGCCAAGATACGGAAGAAGAAGAAGGACGAGGGTTTAGCCGAACCCGATCCGGAAGATTTTATCCCCCGTAACTACTTTGAGAGCGTGCTGGTACACCTCCGGAAGGCTTACGCCTTGGTTGCCGTGAAGTGGGATCGTTCCTCTAATAAGATCAAGGCTCTTCGGGCATATGCTGGTCAGCTTCAGACAGTTTTGGAAAGCGCGATATTCTTCATCGTGGAGATGGGGAAGGAGTATGACTTCGCAGCATTGTGGCCCGAACCCTGTCCAGCTATGCGAGACGAGCCCACTTCTCCGACTCGTGAGGCGGAACGCTTGATGTATGAGAACGACGCTTTGTTCTTTGAGTTGGGTCGGGGGTCTCGTTAAGAACATGTGATTAGGTTAAGTTATCCATGTGTTTTTTGTCAAGTGTACAGATCTGAGGGCTATGTATATGAAATTTTTAAGAAATTTAAGCTCCCTTTTTTGACCATCGACCCCGACTACTTTATTTATTTTGTTTACTCGTTTTATTATTATTATTAATGTTTTTACGGTTATGTATATGAAATTCTTTTTATTGCCGACATGTTGCTATCGTTTGACGGAGGCGATATGAGTATCTTCCCCCAGATTTCATATTTCAGCCGTATTACTATCGCTACAATGATCAGTCGGTGTTCAGTTGAATCGTACCTGACGGAAGGTCGTGGGGGCCTTCCGCATTCTATAATCTGCGGACACCGGGTGACGGCGCTTTGTTTGGGACGGCCACGAGTGTTCCCCCAGGGTTGTGGAGGCCGTCAGGGTGCAGCAGGCCGTGGACGTCACGCGGTGACGTCGGCCACTGGGGTCGAGACGGCTTTGTAAATGCCCCAAGGTCGCGGAGACCGTCGGGGTGCCGCAGGCCGTAGAGGCCACGCGGTGCCGTCGGCCACTGGGGTCGAGACGGCTTTGTAAATGCCCCAAGGTCACGGAGACCGTCGGGGTTCTGCAGGCCGCGGAGGCCACGCGGTGCCGTCAGCCCCTGGGGTCGAGACGGCTTTGTAAATGCCCCAAGGTCGCGGAGACCATCAGGGTGCAGCATGGCCGCGGAGGCCACGCAGTGCCGTCGGCACTGGGGTCGAGACGGCTTTGTAAATGCCCCAAGGTCGCGGAGACCGTCGGGGTTCCGCAGGCCGTGGAGGCCACGCGGTGCCGTCGGCCACTGGGGTCGAGACGGCTTTGTAAATGCCCCAAGGTCGCGGAGACCGTTGGGGTTCTGTAGGCCCCGGAGGCCACACAGTGCCGTCGGCCCTTGGGATCGAGACGGCTTTGTAAATGCCCCAAGGTCGCGAAGACCATCGGGGTGCCGCAGGCCGCGGAGGCCACGCGGTGCCGTCGGCCACTGGGGTCGAGACGGATTTGTAAATGCCCCAAGGTCGCGGAGACCGTCGGGGTGCCGCAGGCCGCGGAGGCCATGCGGTGCCGTCGGCCACTGGGGTCGAGACGACTTTGTAAATGGCGCTGGTAGGAAAGCACGGGAGGTTTTATATATTCATCAAAAGTGCCAGAACTTTCCTAGGCTAATATCTATTACAAAAGCAGGCGGGGGCCTTTAAACATTGAACTTTTTCAGGTTCTGGATGTTCCACCATCGGGGTATGGCACGGGACTCATCATCGCACGTGCGCAGACGATAACTTCCTGAGGGGGAAACTTCCACAACCTGGTACGGCCCCTCCCAGTTTGGAGCTAGCTTACCAGTAGGTTCGGCGTGGCTTACCTCATTTCGTCGAAGGACAAGGTCTCCGACTTTGAAATCTCGTGCCCGAGCCTTGGAATTGTAGTATTTGGCCACGATCTGCTTATATCTGGCTTCGCGGGCCTTGGCCAGGTCTCAACGTTCATCCAGGAAATCGAGGCATAGGCGGACTTCGCCTTCGTTCATTTCTTCTGCAAAGTTGACCACCCGAGGGCTGGGGACCTCAATTTCGGCTGGAAGGATGGCCTCCATACCATAAACAAGGCTGAAAAGGGTCGCCCCTGTTGCCGTTCTCATAGTGGTGCGGATGGCCCAGAGGACGTGTGTCAGCTCCTCGGGCCATAGCCCCTCAGCTTTCTTTAGTCGCTTCTTCATGCCTTGGAGGATGGCCTTGTTAATGTTCTCAGCCAACCCGTTGGCCTGAGGATGGGCCACGGATGAGAACCATCGCTCGATCCCTAGCTGTTCACACCAAGATGAGAAAATCTTCGATTCAAACTGGGTTATGTTGTCTGAGATGAGGACTTTCAGGATCCCAAACCGACAGACTACGTTCTTCCAGAAGAATTTGACCACATTCTCCCTTGTGGTGGAGGCTAGAGGCTCTGCCTCGACCCACTTAGAAAAATAGTCAATTGCGACAATCACAAACTTGAGCTTGCCCGGGGCCACGGGGAATGGTCCTATTATGTCCGTGCCCCACTTGAAGAAAGGCCAAGGGCTGGTAATTGGGACCATCTCATGTTGGGGGAGACGCGGGATGGGAGCATGTTTTTGGCATTGTGCGCACCAAACGACCAGGTCGTAACAAGCCTTGGACAGGGTAGGCCTGTAATACCTGGCGCGGATCAACTTTTTGGCCAGATTTTGCGAACCAAAGTGTGCCCCACAAGCGCCCTCGTGCATGCTTCGCACCAAGACTTCAGCTTCCCGCGGTCCCACGTAGCGTAGCAGAGGAGTCAGATACCCTCGCTTGTAGAGGATCCCATCCCTGAGCAGATACTTAGGTGCTTTGAGCCGAATCCTCCGGGCTTCCTTCGGGTCTGGTGGCAATGTCCCGGTTTGGAGGTACTGAACGAGGGGTGTCCTCCAGGAGGCTTCGTCAATCACCACAGGCAAGACTTCGTCGTCCAGAATACTTGGGCGTGTCTTGACTTCAATGTGGATTTGCTGGGTCAAGCGTACGGCGTGGGAAGAGACCAACTTGCTTAGGGCATCAGCCTTTTTATTTTGCGACACCGGAATGCACCGAATGTGGAAGGTGCGGAAGCCGCGTTCCAACACCCTGACTCTTTGAAGGTATTTCTAGAGGGTCGCTTCCCGAGCTTTGTACAGCTGGAGGACATGATTGACGACCACCAGAGAATCACTGCAGACCGACACCTCTTGAACTCCGAGGGCACGGGCGATTGAAAGCCCGGCGATGAGCGCTTCGTACTCGGCTTCATTGTTCGTGGTGGGGAAGTCCAGTTGAATGGCATAGACAATCTCCGACCCCTGGGGATCGGTCAGAACCACCCCCGCACTCGAACCCTCCCTGGAAGCAGATCCATCTACGAACAGCGTCCAACCTTGCGATCCAGCGGGAATCAAGGGAGCGTCTTGAGGGCCTTGAGGACATTCTTCATCCGCGGCTTCCATCCCTCGGGGAACTTCGACCAGGAAATCGGCCAGGGCTTGACCCTTGATTGAAGTTCGAGGCCGAAACTGTATGTCATGCTCACCGAGTTCCACAACCCACTTAGCCATCTGTCCTGACGTGTCGGATTTTCGAAGAATCTGCTGTAGGGGCTGGTCTGTAAGAACGAGGATTGGGTGTGCCTGGAAGTATGGGCGCAACTTTCGGGCAGCAGTCACAAGGCAGAATATCAACTTCTCCGCTGAAGTGTATCGAGACTAGGATGGTAGGAGAACCTTACTGACGTAGTAAACTGGAATCTGCGTTCCCATATGTTCCCATACCAGTGCTGCACTCACGGTAGAGTCCCCTACGGCCAGGTACAAAATCAGAGTTTCCCCCGGATCAGGCGTACTCAGGGTTGGAAGAGTCTTCAAATGTTCCTTAAGTTCGATGAAGGCTTTTTGACACGCCTCAGTCCAGCCAAAGGTATCAGACTTTTTGAGGACCTGGAAGAAGGGCAAGCTTCGTTCGGCCGCCTTTGACAGGAATCGTCCTAAGGCTGCGATCGAACCCGTAAGCTTCTGCACCTCTTTTACGGAACGCGGGGCCTGCATGTCCAGAATGGCTCGAATTTTTGTAGGGTCTACATCGATTCCTTTCCGAGAAATCTGAAAACCCAAGAACTTTCCGGATCCGATGCAGAATACACACTTTTTAGGATTCAGCTTCATGTTAGACGACCTGAGGGTCTGGAAGGTCTCTCGGAGATCTTCAACCACGAGGTCTGTCCTACGGCTTTTCACAACCATGTCATCCACGTAAATCTCTATGCTCCGCCCCAGCTGGCCTCCGAAGATACGATTGGCCATCCGTTGATAGGTGGCTCCCGCATTCTTGAGTCCGAATGGCATTTTGACATAACAAAACATCCCCTTCTCAGTAACGAAGGCGGTCTTCTCAGCATCATCCTCGTGCATAAGGATCTGGTGGTACCCTTTATACGCATCCAGAAAGCTAAGTACTGAGTACCTCGAGATAGCATCGACCTTCTATTCAATGGCAGGAAGGGGATAGCAATCCTTACGGCAGTGTTTATTGAGATCCTTGTAATCCACACACATACGCCAGGAAGAGTCGGGTTTCTTGACCATAACGGGATTAGCCAGCCATGTAGGGTAACAGATCTCCTTGAGGATGGACGCGGCTAAGAGCTTGGTAACTTCCGCATCGATGGCAGCGTTGCATTCGGGGGCCATCTTCCGTCTCTTCTGCTGTATGGGCCGGGCCCGAGGGTCGACGTTGAGTTTGTGCACGCCCAACTCGGGGGGAATCCCCGTCATGTCGCTGGGGCTCCAAGCGAAAACATCTTCGAACTGTTTCAACAATTCTATCACCAGGTCCCGAAGATTAGGGGGCAAAGCGACCCCAAGGCTAATGACCCTTCCTTCCACAAAAGGATTCAAAGCGACGTCGGTGACTTCTTCATCCGCGAGACCAGGGTCATCGGTAACGGGGTCCTCTTCTTCAAAGGCCGGGGCCTTCTGGATGGACCCGACGGTCGCCTTCTCCTGGAGAAAGTCACGTCCCTTCTTGGCGGCGATGACCATACATTGCCGGGCTAACTGCTGGTCTCCCTGAACTTCCGCAATCGCTGCCTCGGTCGGAAACTTCATGAGCAGATGATAAGGTGAATAAACAGCCTTCGCTTTAGCCATCCAGGGTCTCCCAAGAATGATATTAAAAGGGGCCACGACATCCACTACCGTGAAGTCGACTAAGATCACACGATCCTTGGGATAGGTCCCTTTGGTGACGGCCAGACTGATGATGCCTACAGGCATTATTGTGTGGTTGGAAAAACCGACCAGTGGTATGGATGCGGGGTGGAGCAGAGTTTTATCGAGGCCCAGTTTTTGAAAACAATCAATGTACATAATGTCCACCGCACTGCCATTATCCACGTACACCCGCCGAACTTTCCTGTTGGCGACTATAGCTGTGATGACGAGCGCGTCGGAATAA